AGGTACACTATATTACAATCATGTGCTTACATCTTTGTCTTCCTAAACAATCTATGAATTTTTGGAGGGAAGAAACTGGGTTTCTCATTTCTGTATACTTAGCTATAAAGGACTCGGTAAATGTCTTTGGAATAAACAGACTACCTTTCTGATTTATGAACATTTAGTTATGAACTCCTAATAGAGCTTCATAAAGTGTGAGGTAACAAATTCAGCTAAAGCTTCAGAAAGTTATATGTTAGAACTCTTCCAGCTCAGCACCTCCAAATCCCCATTCAAAAGCAGACTATTGGGCTGGGGATTTAGCTCAGTGATTCCAGCGCCTGCCTGCCTCACAAGCGTAAGGTCCCGAGTTCGATCCCCGGTGCCAAAAAAAAAAGCAGACTATTTTTTTGTTTTCACAGTAAACTGATAAATGCATATATCTTCTTCCACCAGTGAATAAAATTCTATAAATCTTTTTTTTCCTTTCTTTACATGTTGCTGGGAAGCTCAAAGATTTTAATGCCTTAGAGGTCTATGACCATATTAGTTATGAAGGCTGGGATATTTGTTTCTTCCTATGTCTCTGTGTATTTTTATTCTAATAATTTTTATATATGCCTATTAAATGTTATTTTCTTGACGGCATAGAAGCAAACAGATGGTTAAGGTGCCAACACAGAAATGCAGAGATGGAACCACTGAGACAAATTTGTCTGTAGCTGCCTAAGGCCACTGTTGACTACAAACTCTCAACTGAAAATCAAAAATTAGGCAGATTTTATTTATCGGGGAGTGGAAAAAATTTTTACTGGTAGGAGATATATTTTGAGGACTTCCAATTCTTCCATCTCCTATAGATAACACTGAGTAGAAAAGGTAATCACTTCCAATATTCAACTAGAAAATCAGAGCCTGGATGAATTCTCCCATCTGGCATAACCCCACAGGTGGCATACACAATCCTGAGCGTAGGTTTTCCTGGCTTATCTCCCCCTTCCCTAAATTTAGTCACCAGGCCTGTTGGGTTTCCCACCAGAACCCTCCCTTTGCCCAGTCTTCCTTTTAGACCTCCGTCCAGGCTTCTTTCCTGTTTCCCACCTTGTGTTTCCCCCTCTAGTTCAGGCTATACAGCTGGATTACTTCTCTGCCTAAAACCTGTCATGGGCTTTCCATGGTTCACAGTTTAGGATGAACACATGCAGGCAAGATTCCTGCATCCTCTCCAGGGTAACCTCTCGCTGCACATCACATATTCTTTGCTCTGGGCATCCTGAAGGACTGTGTTTCCTCATATTGCTATGGCTGTCCATTTTGTTCTGTTCCTGTTCTCTGTAGAGCCTCCCCACTCCTTCATTATCTAACTCCTGCTCATCCTCAAGACAGAGCTTAGTTTCTCTTGATCACCTGAACAGCTTTCTCTCTTTCAAAGCACCTCTACTTGTCATAACCCTCACTGCGCGCGCTCTCTCTCTCTCTAAGTCTGAGGGAGTATTTACCACTGAACTCCCAGAACATAATTGCATGGCCAGAGGAGGCCTCAGAAAATGTTTGCTGAAGTAACTACAATCGGCACATTGAGGTGGACATGTTTAAGGAAATAGGATCTGAAATGGGCCTCACTCATCACATTTTCCACAAAAGTGAGATGTGGAACTTGCCAACTTCCATTACTCTATTATTTCTATGATTTTTTTTCTAATTCTAAACTTATCCACTCTTTCTTCTCCACGCTTTCTCTTGACCTTTCCTTGGTCTACTTTTAAAAATCTTTAATCAATTTGGATTTGACTTACATATTTTTTCAAACTGAAAACCAATTGTTCTAAAATTTTATTAAAAATTCTCTTTATTCAAGATCTATGTTTAGCTTTTTAAAAATTCTTATCAATAACAGTATTTGAGGAGCTCTGTCATCTGCTGCACTGGTCTATTATCACACTGGTTTAGTTACTGTCATTTTATCATACTTGGCTATTTGTTTGTAATATAATTTAATTTCTCATATTAAAACTATAGAGGAATATTTTAAACAAACAGATAAGCAAAGAAAAGCTCAACTAAAGTAACACAGAGATAACCATATTATCATTTTGATGCAAATAGGGTAGCTTTCATAGCAACTTCCATTTAATTATCTTGGCACATTAACTGACATTCTCTGTCTGTGCAATGGACTAGTTGATGTCTATAGTATGGTGAATGTTCCTGGAGAGAGGCTTATCCTTAGGGGACCAATGTATTCTGTTCTTACCATCCATGGGTTGCGATTGGCAAGAGTCAGATGTGTTTATTCCAACAGGTTTGCCAGGTGTGGTTACTCTAATAATATAATAATTTAAATATAATTAAACAATAACCAATAAAAACAATGAATATGAAAAAAATTGTCTCTATAAAACTAATGGTTTGAAAAATTGAATGCCTCAAAAAAATTCAATAGAGGTGAAATTCTAAAAATATTACACTTGGGTTATGTGTCTGAGAAATATAAACATTGGTAAGAGATTATAAAAACCTCAAAGTCCACAGTCAATGGACTTCATAAGCATCTCCAAATTTCTGACCCATTTAAGAATAAATATTTCATATATTCCATTATTGGTGTTAACACAAAATACACAGAAGACAACTTCAGAGAAGTCATAAACAAGAACCAATATACCTATGTCAAAACTGGCCAGGCCGGGGATTTAGCTTAGTGGTTCCGGCACCTGCCTCACAAGTGCAAGGTCCTGAGTTCGATTCCAGTACCAAAAAAACACAAAAAACAAAAAAACAAACTGGCCAATGAACACTTATATTTTATAGCTTTAAAAAGAAAAATTTTAATGATTCTTTCCTTAACCAAAATTTTCATTTAGTACATCAATTACCGGTGTCTACAGAACTGATGAAGAGAACATCTACCCTACCTATAGGATGTATAGAATATTTGTTTTACATAAGATTGTGCTACAAATATTACTTTACCCCCTGCTCTTTTCACTGACTCTATTATGAATGCTGTTACAATTCACTGTTTTTTACATCGTTACTGTCTACCCAGTCTCTCCTGTTTAACTATTTGGGCTTCCTTTTGTTTAACATTTAAATCTATTTATCCTCCTTGAATTCCTCTTTGCCAGGACAAAAACAAACACACAAACAAACAAACTTGGAGTTTAGTCATATGCCCAACCTAGGACTTCTTATATAGGTCATCTCCTTTTCTCAATTCTCATTTGCCTTTTTAAAAAATTTTTTTGTTAAATTATTTTATTTCATTGTAAGCTGTAAGAATCTTTTATGAAAGTTGGAGGGAGTAGACCAACCACAAATCCCTAACATCCCATCTCCTAGTGTGAGATCACAGAGTGCAATGCCAGGTTGGCTGAAAGCTTGCTTGCCTTGAAGGCAAATCCTTCTCACCTTTACTTTTCTAGTATGACAGACTGGCCAGGGAGTTTCTAACTAATAACTAGAGAACCTTATTTCTTTTGACATTTTTGGTAAATCCATGAAGTAGTCTAATATCTAGTTCTATTTTTTTCTAGAAACCTAAATTTAACTTAGGTATACCTTCTAAAGTTATTTTTCTTAAAATTTGGACAATAAATGAGGCATAGTGTCAAATCAAAGGCACAAAGCATTTCTCCCTTTCACTATTACTTGCCACAACTAAAAATTAATGGAGAGGTATCATCCCATGACTTATCTCCATAGCATCTGATCAAAGATAGTAGCCAAAGAGCTCGATGTGACATTGGCTTCTTTCTGAACTATTCAACATCTGTAAGTGCTTACAGTTACTTGGAGCAGCTCAAATTTTAATCATTAGTTATATATAAAGCTGGGATACACTAATATAGTCATGGACCTCTATCTCATAACAATGGACCAAATATACAAAGGTGGTCCCAAAAGATTATCACCTACTAATGTTACCGTCACTTTAGTTTGTGTGTATAAATACACTCTATAATGTTTGCACAAGGATGTATGATATGCTCTAATGACACTTTCTCAGAACACATTATTGTTGCTAAGTGACATGACTGTATTGTGTCTCTTGACAGAACGTTCTGCATTTTTATTTTTTCAAATTTGAGATTAAATACAGAGTGTTCTTTTCACAGCTAAGCAGAAAAACTTCTGGGTACCTTTCAGGAAATATGAGGTTTTTCATAGGCCTTTTAATCACGAGATGTACTATACAAGAGAAATAATGAAATTTTTATTAGAACTCCCCTCCCCCCACAGAATAAACAGTCCAGGCTGTATCTTCAGCATCGCAAACACTCCTGAGGTCTGAAGAGTCCTTTTAAACATTCTATAAAAACTTCTTCTGGAAGAATGGTATAAATAACCAGGGGTATTGTCTGGATATTACTCACATTAGCTAATGAAGGGCAATCTATCCATCAGCCTCAAACCAAAAATCCAAAACGAAGGGAGACAGACAGACAAAGAGAGACAGAGAGAGAGAGAGAGAGAGAGAGAGAGAGAGAGAGAGAGACAGAGATCAACAGGCCTTCCTCTTAGGAAGATCCCTGAGCACTTCAGTGATTCATTTTAAACAAGCTTGACTTTCCCAAACTGTAACATGGAAGAGTTCCTGCCTAAATGACAGCACACCACAGTCACACATACCCATTAACTCAGTACAGACTGAGGCCTCAGTTCATGTGCAGGGCCCTGTATCAGCATCCTGAGCATCTCCCATGGTAAAGCTTATCTAAAGAGGCTTTTCTACTCTGCCTGATGATAGGATTCATTCATGACCTTAGCATACATGGCTACTAGGACACTATGAAGCCTGGCTAGGAAGTAGATGAACTCTGTACTCCAAAAACTAGTTTTACTACACTTACATTTCATACTCCACAAACCTTGGAATAGGCTGAGAAATAGCAGAAAATAGCTGGGGAATTCTCAGGTACCCTTGCAGCACACTGATCTAACTTGCAACAATGATCACTTTCTATCAATCATCACGATGGGCATGGGTAAGCGTTATGACACAGTAGACAATGACATTCTTTCCTATAAAATTTTATTTATTACATAAAAAATTCTATACATTTGTTAGACTAAAATACAGTTTTCATTATAATTCTGGCAACTGAGTCAGTACACAGAGAAAACTTCGCATTAGATCAGCACTTTTTTTTTCTAGTCCATATTTCTGTACAAGAAAACATTTCAAAGCTCCATTTCATATAAGCTCATTGTACTCTGAAGCCAGATGGAATGCCATCCAATTCAGAGCTCTTGGAAGTTAATTTCCCAGCAAGATTTGATAACTCCAGAAAGTTAATTGCTTAATATACATATTTTTAAAGTCCTCTGAGAGCATAATGCTCCATCTGTAAAGTCTGTACTGTGTCAGTAATGACAGTCACAAATACCAGGGCTACAACTGTATCTGCGGGGCATGTTCAAGCACCTACATGTTTGTTTCCCCATATGCGTACAGTGTAGTGACACTGTAATAAGAAGAAAAACCCCAAATAATGCTAAAGTAAATGATTCCAAATTATGGAATTCACGGAAGGCTTAATTGTGATCCTCCAGTTTGTGGTGGACAAAGACAGGACATGACACAAAAATCTGACAGTCTGAAATAGGATGCTAATGTAAAAAAAAAAAAAAGACATCAAATATGTGGTACCACAATGTACTTCTCATGCTGAGTTATATAGTGAGAAATTGAGACACACTGATGTGCCATTTTCTGTTCATATCACCCTGTACAACAGGCAGGGCTGGACACTGGATGTGAAAACTCAGCGCCTGAGAGATCAACAGCAGATCCTTATTACACTGACTGGTCTTTAAGATCCGAGTGCCTTATTCTAGGAGTTACAGCCTCAAATCAAGTTCAGAAAGGCTGTGCCAGTCAGTAGATAAAAGTTGGGCCTTTGGTCTTCAGAAAATAGGCTTTTGTCTTTGGTTGTTTTCTCAGCCCTGTGTCATTTTGCTACATGTCCTTCACTTCACGGTTTTCCTCTTTGTTTTTTAGTTCTAAAGCATTTTTCCCTATTATCAAATGAGCTAACAATCCACTTGAATTTACTCTATTAGGTTTGAGATCTTTTAGAACTATATTTAGTGGTCATGAATACTACATTCTGAGATAGCAAAATTGAAACTTCTTTTTCATTATGGCATTCCCAGCACCCTTATAGGGATGGGCAGAAATCAGGAAATAACACAATAGACTCTAGTAACACTAGAGCAACATAGTAGGAAAAAGATAACTTTCCCTATGTGATCATCTCTGAAAAATCAGAACTAGTAAAAACAAAAGAAGCCAAAATGAAGTTCTGAGCCCAGACTACTGGAACCCAAGTGATGGGGAAAATTTTATTCAACAGTCCCTGTCTCAAATCAGTCTCCAAAGCTGTTCTGTTATTGTCACATCCTTATGTGAAGCATTTCTAACACATTGTATGTAAAACCACATTTCTACTGGCAGGCAGAATGGTCCATGGGACTTGTTCTATCTTCCCTTCATTCCCCAAGTCTTTTTAATGCTTACTTTGACTCACATGGAGTGGATCAACACATATTCCTCAAACAACTTAGGTATTTCTAGCTAGAAGGATGGATAGACAGGATTTGTAAACAAAGATTGGAATATTCTCTTTAAGTCATTTCTATGGTGAGACCCTCAAGGAACTGTCAAATTTAGACTGGACTTTGGTCCTTTGCTGCCTGATATGGAAATTTCCAGCAGTGGACTGTTTATTTCTATGGAAGGATTATTAGAGGTTTTTTAGGAGTGGGTGGGTGTAGGGGTAGGGAGCCAAATTTTCTCTTTTCTTAACCAGGCAGTTGAAAAATTTCCAATGCTTTCATCAGCCTAAAAATGTAGGTAGTGGTTTGGTGTCTGACTATATAAGCTGTGATCTACTGGAATAAAGCCTTAAATAATTTCAAGTTTCTTTAGGGTTTCTGTCTGCTTTTTCAAGAACCCAGAGAACTTTCCCAGAGAGCTGCCATGCAGATGCAGCACCATTACCTAAGAGTAAGTTGCAGATGTGAAGCACTTCATGTGCTTCCCTAAAGAAGGGAGATGGGTGAACATGGGGAATGGAGATGTGGTTCCATTGGCACAGTGGTCCAAGGCTGTGTTAGAGGGTGGAAAACCTCAAAACACAAAACATCTCCCTGATTTATGTGGGGACAAAAAACACCTTTCAAATTTCTGTTGTAAGTACCTGCTCCAGCAATTTTCCGTTGTTTTTGGTCAAGTGTATGTACTATGTTTGCCAAGTTATCATCTTCATTTGTTTTTGGTCATGCTGGCAGGTGAAACACTGAGAGCACTACGCAACATATTATTATCTGAGCTACAATAAAAATAATCATGTGTCTTGGTTGATGGATAATTACAAGGATTCTCCATTTCTTGGATTTTTTTCATGTGTACATTGCTAATAATTTGGTAAACATCATACCTCCTCATTCCTCCAAGGTAAGAACTTTTACCGTTGTGAAGATTCAACATTGACCATCTGGTTATTTATTCTGTTTACTGTAGTTTCTATTCCCAAACGTAGTACTAAATTATGCAAAAATCTTTAAATTATAAAAATGATTCCAGGCCAAAGGTGCTAAATTTCATCTCAAAAGAATATTAAGGAGGACCTAATCATTTCTATGAACATTTGAAGTGTTCACAGATGTGCTATGTGCATTTTGGAGAAAGTCCACAGCTTTTATAAGTTCAAAGGGACTTACGATCCCTCAGATGAATCTGCTTTTAAATATCACATATTTAATTCAGATATTAGCAAATAAAATTGAAAAATTTCTGGAATATTTTTAAATTAATGTTATCATGTTCAACCAGATCTTGACTAGACCATGAATAAAAGCTTTCTTATTCTGAGCTCCCTGGTCATTTCAGTTGTAAAGCTAAGTATCAAAACTTAAGAATAGCGTAATATCTGGGTCCTTAACAATTTCATATCATCTGAACAAATTTATTAATGAATTCCTGTAGAACACATCAAACTTAAATCCTGTATATGTAATTCACAAAGGTGGTGATTGTTCATGCAAAATTAAAGCTGAATCATTTAGTTTCACACACAGAAAAATCAAGATGAGGAAAAAGAAAGGGCACTGTAATATTTCTATAGAAAAAAAGGTTTTCCACAGAAATCCACAAGTTTAAAAACTGCATTTAAGATTTCTATAAGAAAGATTTTCAAAGATTTAAATCTTGGATTAAAATTGGGCTCTTAAAACATGAAATATAATTTGGCTCAAATTTATGAAATTTGAAAATTGTTATTTTAAATTTATAAGTATATACAACATGTTTAGTTTTTGTTTTAAGCTTTAGATTTTCTCTTGGGACATTCAAGGGTCCTGCCTTTTCAAAATGTGGGCTATGTGCTATTAAATAGAGGTGAGTTAAATTCCAAAAGCAGCCACTGTATATGAACAGTGCCTACTTTTCAAAAGGACTAACACGCATTCCTTAGTACACAATGCTATATAAATATGCATTTAAAGCAAAAGGCATTCTATGCTATGAATGTAGAATACACAAGTCTCTACTTTATGCATTTACTGATGAACCCACAATTCTCCAATATATATTCACAGACCATATCTTAACTCTACGTAAGCACTTCTGTCAGATGCAGTGTATGAAAATACAGAAATTAACTGTGTCAGGTGAACTGATAAGCCTTGAGACTCCAAGGATTTTTTTTCCCCATAGCAGCAGTAGAAAAGCAGTAGAGAATTTACATTTTGAAAGGTGGAAGTTTAAAGACTTTTTTGAAGGAAACTTCTCAGAGGCTATGTTAAGGCTATTGGAAACTCCAATTCAAATGAAAGAATACTGACCAATAGTAAAAATTTAAAAAAATAAAATAAAATGTTCAAGTCATCATAGCAGACAGCTCTGGTTTTGCAAATGATCTCACAATATTCCTTTGTATGTTGGGGGATGTTTTGAAATAGCCTTTAGTAGCTAGTGATTGTGCATGGTGAAAATGTTTAAAGCCTCAGAAGCACTGTGTACCCTTGCAAATATTTGGTGCATGCAATTTCTGTTTTGAAGAAGAGGGAGGAAAAAGTATTACTCTGTTTTAAGCAGATCAGGACCAGAATAAAGGGTCAGCCTCCTTACCAGTCCTCTTACCCCAGCCTACCGAGGAGAAATACTGAAACTCCTTTGGGAAGAAAGGAAAGAGAGCTCTTGGTAAATACCAAGGCCAGTGGTATTGGGAAGATTTTATAATCAGCAGGTTAATGCCTTTCCCTGAAAAAAAGGAAAACAGGAGTAAGAGAGCATTTTTATAATGGAGAAACTTATTTCTAGCATAACTTTTAAAGAGATTCAATAAGTGCTTCCATTATAGAAAATATTTGGGGACCATACAGTTTAAGCTACTTAAATTACAGTGACTTAGGACTTAATTATCCTGTAGGATAGAATAAAAACTTTAATCCTGAACATTAACCATTACATTAAATGGTTTAAAAGAACAACCTGTTTTGAGCGCTGCTCATCCATGCAAGGATTATACAATCTCCGTGCCATTGCTAAATTGCTAATGTTTTGTTATTATTGTACTTTAAGCGTCTCATTGTAGACAGGTCTCTTGGATTTACACTGGAATTTAACCTTTTCCCTTTCTATCATATTGTAACAGAGCTTATTTTTGAGGCAGGAACCTAGAAAGTCTAAGTTATGCATCAAAACCCTTACTATCTGATGGCATAAAACATAATGACACTCTGGATACCACTACCATTTACAATAGGAATCCTAACAATAACTCTATAGAGATAGGACTCCTAAATGCAATTTTGAAGAACCATCACAGAAAAAGACAAAAACCACAATACAAAATCAATGGTTTATAAAATTATTCAGGTATCCACATTTCACAGATAATTTTTGTTCTTCATCTATTCTTCTCACTTGGGCAGAAGATGGAAGCAGTGAGCAAATAGCAATAAGGCAGCCCACAGCTAGCTGAAGAATGACTTGCAATGAATGAAAGAAGCAGTGGGAATATCTGAACATAACCTCAAAGCATTGGAACACTTCTAAAAAGCCTCTATGATACTTTATCAAATTAATCAAGGAATGAAGCTCATGTGAGAGTGATATTCCATACATCAGATATCTGTGTGTGCCTGAGTAATATATATGCATATTTGCATATATCTATATGGCACACAAATTTACTTAGGGAAAACAGCCTGGAAATTAATTTGGAACTCGAATGACATGGTTACACATAGATCATAATTTCTAAACACAATGTTAGTAAAACAAAATTTATTTGTAAAACAGGACCTGTTATATAAAATGGCACACAATCAAGTTATACAAAAATACAAAATTTCTGATTACAGTTCTAGTTGCAAATGATAATTAGAAAGCATTCCTGGTGGCTTCCAAATAGCTGAGATTGTGAGCACATGAAACAGGGGGCAGCAAGAATCCATGATGCAGGGATGTCCAAGTGAGTAGAACCTAATTTCCAAGTTCAAGATTTCCATCAGGTCACGTTGGAGGAACACCTCCTAAAATAGCTAGCTCCTGGAATGTCTTCTCTTTGGACACCCATCTTCCAGACTTTTGCCAATTCTAAATTTAGTTCCCAATGTTTCTGAAAGTCCAAAATTGGTGTAGCTATGAAACAATAGTGTTCTGAATTTTCTTACATGATTTGCTCTCTCACCTATTTGGATAATTGTTAGCTACATAATTATATTTATTTCATTCAAATAATATAAAAGTACAGTGACATTGGAGACACTAGATGTTAGATGTTAACTTCTGGAGAATTATTATTTCAAAATAGCTAAGCTCACAAAGTTGGTTTCCAGATCTTGCTAAGATATGAACTATTAATTGTATGTGTGTATGTGTGCATGTGTGTGTGTGTGTATGTGTGTGTTAATCCAGACTCTTATTGCAAATATTCTGGAAAATCAGAAATATTACATGAGCTTTGAAAAGAAACCAAGGCATTTAGCAAATTTTAGCCTAGCTAAAGAACACCAATACTTAAAAAAAATACAATTTACCTTTTGCAGCAATTTAAAGGTCTAACCCTTTGAAAGGAAGCATATTAGCAAACAGCTGCTTATTAAGCCCTAGTGACATTAATTGTATGCATTCCCATAATACCAGTCTAATTCACTGTCCAATTCTGGTTGGAGGCAATGCTTTCTTTCAAAAGATTTTACTTCCATGGAATGATAAAATGTGGAGGCTTTTTTTTTCTTTTTTCTTTTTTTGTACAGAGCCTGTATTTAGTGCAATAAGTTTAAAAAATTTGCTCTGAAATATTTACTTTACATTAACAAAAATAGCTTTTTTTAAAAAAATTGTAACAAAAAGGAGTTATCGCATAAACAGATCATGAATTATTCTTAGCAAATTACACATTTTTTCTTAAAGCATTCACCATTACAATAAGCAGAACAATGGAATATTAGCCATTCATATCTGGTGAGCTTCAGGAATAAAAAAACAAAATAACAACAAGTCCTCAAACCCACCCCCAAACATAAAAAACATTCACACTTGAGGATCAAAACATTAACCAATTCTTCAGTTAAACATTGTAGAACACTGGATAGTCAATGAATTGCCAAAGAGAGGAGCACCTGCCAGTGTATTTTCAGGTTTTATAGCAAGCATTTGAATACAACGGCTGTTTAACCCTAAGCCACTGATGTTCTTCTGAAGCAGAAGCCCAAGCACTGGAATTTTCAATGCTCTATGCTCCACATTTTTGTCCCTTTTAAATTCCTCCTAACATTACTTAATCTACAAATCAATGCACAGAAACTTAAAGGCTAAACTTGCTGGGCGCCCCAGCTTCCTTTCAAATCAGGCACACAAATGTGTGGAGGATGCTACTAAAGTTAAAAAGAAAGACAAATGTAAGAAAAAAGTTTGCATAAGAAAGATTATCTACCCTTTTCATTTTTTCCAACTTTCTTTTATAGAAGCATTAGGGTAAACTACATATACCTGAGGAGTTGGTTACTTTTTAATGTTGGCTGACAAATGTATGAGCTACTAAGAAAATTCCCAGGTTGGCCCACTTGCATGTTTCTAAAAGTAAAATGACATGGCTTTTGATTGGGGGAAAGTGATTGGAGTAATGCCTTATTTATCTGAAAGCACGTGCCTAGTTTTGATATGCTAGGACTTAGGCATCAGTAAAATAAGATCTTGATTTTATACACACATCAGGGAAATTATCCCTGAATAAATTTTAGACAAGAATTTGGTACAACAATTGTATCTAATTTAAGTAACTAAAGTTAAAATCTCCTCTAAGTTATTAAAAATGTTAATCAGATATGAATCTAACATTTCCATTAAGACAATTACAATTGAAAACATTAAATGACGGAAGTTGCCTTGTAAAAGCCACCCGTATGAAAGGAGTACATGTTTGACAAAAATAAGCATAAAAAAGGTATTAAATCCCTGTTCCTTTTTTCTGATTTTGGCTGATTATGTGTGTGTGTGTATATACATATAGATATATGTATATACACACACATACATATACATATATATATACACACACCCACACACACAAATACATAGTTATGTGTATATATTGTTTTGGAATGTCAATGGGTTCCATAACCGTCGGCTAGGTTCAAGCAGAACTTGCTCCCGAAGCCTAGAAAACAAAGTCATACAGAGTATAATCTTAGACAATTACCATTAAAAGGAAATCATGAATGATGATACAAATATACACACGGTCACAAACAGCAACAGGAGAAAACAGATTGGAACTCCTCCTCTGAGCCTATTTTATTGGGGCCAAAATTCCTGGCAATACCGGAAGTTACATTTCCTTCAAGATCATTTCTGAAAAATACATAGCCTACTTCTCTAAACCATATCCCCACAGGGTCCGAGTTTTCCAAGTTTTCACCTGTAAGTCCTTCCCTGTATGACAGCAAGCAAATAGATTTCCCTAAACATCATCATCACATTTGGTAAATTTTTCTAAAATTACTTTCAAAGAACTACAGAAAGACCTCATCAATCTTTAAAGTTTCCTTTCCTTTCCTTGTAAGCTTCTCTTAAGAAAAAGTCCAAGAATAAAACTTGCAGTTCTATTACTTCAATGATCCCCTATCAAAAGGAAAAATTTAAACCTTATTTTCCTGAGCATTATTTTATAGGCTAAAAATAAATCCTATATTAATATATTCCATTAAGAAGAAGCCAGACAGCAGCAGTGTTTCTAGACATATTGCAAAATAGGCATGATGCTCTGTTATAGAACTTCCACCTAAGAGAGTAACACAAGGAAATATAAATAAGTAATTCTAAATTTTACTAATCCCCAAACTTTAGGGGAAATTCCACAGATAATTCTATCTGACACAGAGGATGGTGATAGCAGGGCAAACTCTGATCATGCATACTATGAAAGAGAGAAAGGTAAAGCATGAAGTGTTTAAAAAATAAAGCTATTGTGTAAAATACTTCACACTGCTCTTTTTGGGAGTTTTTTAACCAAAGAATTTTTGCCATTTATCAGTAAGCAAGGAAATGGTGAACATAAAATGGAAGCAAAAACTGAATGAAGGTTTTAATGCATTGTTGGTGGAAAGGGACAGTAGATTAAAACTGAAAATACTATTAGAAAACTTCCAAAATGTTTGGCTTTTGGCAGAATGCCACATAACCAAGATAATTTTCTGTAATTATAGTTTATATAAATTAGGGGTGTAGGTAAGGAAGGAATACTTGCACTCTGTCTGTCACAACTTGTCTACCATTTACTAAGGAGTAATATAGAGACATGCCAGTCCATAGCCAAATGAGCAAACTTTCAGCTTCTCCCTTCTTTAAATATTTATTACTGAAAAATGATTCAGTGGATGTTTCAGTCATTGGAAAGACAGAAAATGTGGGGAAGGCAAGTTTGTATTTTAAGATTTTAGGTACGGTATGTCCTCTTAAATCTTAGGCTTGGGAACTTTATTTCCTCAACAATGAGGACAGCCAAGCATTAGAAGAAAGCCTTCCTCATTTCTTCAAGTCCCATAAGATTGGCAGCACTGTCACTGTGGTCTTAATTAGAACAATACATGCTACAGACATCTGTTATGCTGCATTGAAAACAGAGGAAAACAACTCAGGATTCTCTTACACTGATCAAGTTGGTCAAATGAAAGTAGAATGAATTAACATTAATAAATTTATATTATATAAAAATTCACCAGAGAAAGTTTTCCTTTTCACAAGTAAGCTGGGAGTAGACTAGATGGTCTTACTGAGGGAGAATGTGAGTGTTAACTGAAAATGACATGTGATTGCTACAGAAAAATAGCCTAAGAAACAAAGTACAATCTAGGCAACAGAAGAAATGGTCACCAAAGGGGAAAAGACAGCAATGTAAACAGAACAATATTTTTAAAAAGCAGGAATATGAACTTTAGCAAGTTGAAAGGAATTTCTATTATCATCTTCCAAAATGACAAAAATCAAATGTTCAGTCAGATGAAAACTAAACACTGACAGATTAAAAAAAAGAAAATGGGAAACTGCAGTTTTACCATAGAGACAAAACAATTATCCCCTAGTTCCCTGCACCCTGGTGAAGATGGCTGTTCCTTTCAGCTTACTTTTACAGAAGGTGGTTTCAGCTGTGACAAGAATTCTGCCACCCAAGTGATGGGTAAGCACACAAACAGAAACAGCAGCATGTCTTGAGTGATACAGATAACAAAAGCTTCTCCAGAAGAAGTGTAGTCAGTAAAAACAGAGAGAGAGAGGAAGTGAAAGTGAAATTCTTGGAGGTCGGCTGCCTCCTCATCTCCACCTACCATCGGCTTTAGCTCTCTGGCATCAGCAACGCCTCCCTTACCAGCTTCTTTCATTGCTTTCCTACTGTTTTCCACAAATTCCTGAAAAATATGAACCATATAGCATAAATTCTTGGGCCTTTTCGATTTCAACTGACAGATGAATTCTAAGAAACTCATTTGTTCATTCGGAGGTACAGGGGGATTGAAACTGGGGCCTTCACACTGAACTCCATCCCCAACTCGTTTTACTTTATTTTAAAATTTCATTTTTAAATTTTAATACAGGATCTCCCTAAGTTGCTAAGTTTCCCAGGCTGGGTTCAGAGAATCTGAAGTTCTCTTGCCTTGGGAGGACTACCATTCCCAAAGTGCCAGGATTATACTTGTGAGCCACCAGGCCCAGCTTACATTTACATTTGACTCAATCTCTGCAAATGAATGACCTAAAAGCATTGCCGTAAATAATATTTACTATCATATTTAAGAGTTGTTAAATTAAAAAAAAAAACCCATACAATGTATGTGGGCTGGGGATTTAGCTCAGTGGTTCCGCCACCTGCCTTGCAAGCACAAGGTCCCAAGTTCAATCACCGGTACCAAAAACAGAAACAACAACAACAACAACAACAACAAAATAATTGTTAAATTTGTGGGATTGACCACAATTCTCTCCATCCATTCATTGTGACAAGTGCACTAAGGCTCCAAGAGATAATGCTAATTTTGTCCAAAAGAAAAAATGCCTAATGTTTTTAAAAGATTATTTCCCCATACTTAGATCATTGTTTTATTTTTCCATATCAAATTTAAATAAAACAAGGATAATTTATTTTACAACCCTAAAGACCTAGAAGGTAAAAGCATTAATACTGCTAAGGATGAAGTATTTTTTGTTTTTTAAGCCAAACCATAAATAAACTATCTTAAATGTCTGTCTGGTCTTGACAGAAAACAGGAAGACAGGAGTGTCAATGGGAACTTATGCTTAGAAGGAGTTAAACTGGGAATATGTCCCAAAGGAAACATTCCTAGTCTATCAAAGATTATGAAGCACTTTATTAAATATCCTCATCATTCTTACAGAGAAAACTAAAGGCGGAAAAACTATTGTTCACTCTGCTTTTGATCAGTGGCTTAAAAAACAAAAACAAATCCTTCTTCCAAATTTTTTAATCACAAGAGGGATGAAAGGCTCACAGATCAAATATCATTATTAAAATAACCAGAGAGTATTAATTCAGAATTATGAAAATGTCCAAAATTTACGATGCTCTCAGATTCTGAAAGAGATAATCAGGGCCAAAGAGGTCAGCTAGATCATTTGGAATTTTTACTATTAAAAAAAAATCTAGCTCATTTATTAATATACTTTTTAGATTTAACTGAAAAAAAAATCACTTCTAAAAACGGATATACTAGGGCTGGGGATTTAACTCAGTGGTTCTGTTGCCTGCTTCACAAGAGCAAGGTCCCGAGTTTGATCTCCGGTACCAAAAAAAAAAAGGATATACTATGTCAAAGTATAATATTTACTACCCTCAAGATTAATATCTATTAATAGATTAATATTTATTTTCAAAATAGAAATATTTCACTGCTTAATAATGAAATATTATTAAAAAGCATTTCTAATTTGGTATCATTTAACCTTGATGTAAATAATACTTAAACAATTTTAATGTAGTTCTGAAGTTGTTTAAAAATTTTAATTAAGGTTTATGGCTGCAAAAGCCATAAACTTGTGCAGTATCTGTGTAAAGATTCAGATCTCGACTAATATAAAAATATAAAACAATCTACCAGTCATGAGTCTGCTACCTATACTTTCTATAAAGCACTTTCCATTCTGCATGGCATATTTATGATGAATTTCAGAGTTGGCAACAGTAGCATCTGGAAAGGTGGTAGACAGAGAAAAGCAGGTAGGCACTACGATCTGGGAAGCAGATTTTTTGTCTTTAAGCATCATTTCAGGAAAAGGCGCTTAGAACATCAGTGATTTAGTGTTCTGATTCAAGGGTTAGAAAGCATTTTTAAAAGTTCATTCAAGCTGGGCATAGTGGTGCATGTCTGTAATCCCAGCACGCTGGGAAGCTGAGGCAGGAGGATCACAAGTTTGAACCCTATCTGGACAACTTAGCAAGAATGTCTCAAAACAAAAAAAAAATAAGAAGGGCTGGGGATATAGCTTAGTGCAAAGGCCCTGGGTTCATTTCCTAGCACTACACACATACCAATGGATTTTAAAAAGTGTATTAAAATTTGTGTAGCTGCAGAGAGAAGGGCAGCAGGGTGGAATATTGTGTATCTGGGACAACTAATGAGTAATGCTCCACCTAGGTGGATCTGAAATTCCAGGAGGATCTTCTTCGATGGTTTCTCTAAGATTGACTTCATTCAGGAGTGCTACTGGTTTAATTCTAAATTACTGTTCCATATAATAAGAAATTAAACATAGAAAAAGTTTAGCAAAATATTTTTATTAGTATTTTTATTTATCCTTCATGTTGTAGAGGACATTTGAATTACTTACCATTAGCACTTTATCCATATAGAACTCTCTGCCAGGGCTCCCATCATTGTACTTTGTATCAATGGCAAAACACAAGAATAATACATCCACTACCATTTCGTAAATGGACAGGAAGCAATGAGCGACTAGGAAAGCAAAGAGGCAGACGATGATCAGAGGCAGCACCCATACTGTGTAATCCTGCTGGTAGTTGAGCAGCATAATCCCAGCCAAACCTGTGCTGCAGACTATCAGCACCTGAAGAAGAGAGAGCAAAGACCACGGTTAATATTCTACTATTAAAAAAACACTATTTCTTTGTCATTTGCAGGCTTAAAATTCTCTTCACTATTTATAAATGATGACTATAAATGGTCATGGCATTTCAAATTAAGAAGTACAAGCCAGGGGCCGGGGATTTAGCTCAGGGGTTCTGGCGCCTGCCTCTCAAGCTCAAGGTCCCGAGTTCAATCCCTGGTACCAAAAAAAAAAAGTAGAACAATCCATATGTACCCATGTACAAACAGTTGTTCTTATGTAATATAAACTAGAAAATTATACTTTATGATTCTGATTTACATTGAAGATAATCAAGTTTTCCAAATGTTAACACCATTCCTGAAAACTTCACATATTTAGACTTTGTGTTAATTTTAAGGTAAATTTATGTATATTTGAGCAAAAAATTACATGTACCCTTAGCACTCAGAAAAACATTATTGACACTGGTACTGGATATATTTTTTGAAGCACTCTTACATATATGAAATAGTATATAAACAAATAAAAGTTCATCACTAATATTTATAGTATCATTATAAATGCTTCATATAATTTCATCTTATGGGAGAATTAAAGTTTACTTAATCATTCTCCTACTCTAAGAGATTTTTATTATTTTCAGATATACATGATGCTGCAACAAACATCTCTATTCTTAAAACTTTTCCTTGTTTCATTTTATTTTATATAGAACATATACATTTTAAAAAAATTTCCATGATAGTTCACAGATTTAAACTCTCTAAAAGGGATACAAAAAAATCCATGTTAAAATAAAATAGACAATGTTTATTATTAAGGATCATCAGCTGCAATGCTTCATCATTACATATGAAGCACTTTAAATTTTTTGTGGTTTTTAGTTTTAAATTTTTATTAATAAATGTAGTCCACAATGATTACGTTCATTGAGGAGTTGGTTCATGTATGTAACATATCTTAATTCTTTTTTCATGCCCTTCCCCTCCTCCTTCCCTCCATCTCTTCATCATCTTCCCTTTTGCAAAAAGATATCTCCCTGAATGTTTTATTTCAGCTTTTCAAAAATCCTATAAATGGTTTGTGGAAAACATTATCAACTCCATTTCATAGACTAGAAAACATGCTCAGTGATCCTAGCCAACCTACCTAAGGTCACAGTAGAGAAAAGAAGTTTCCACTTATGTAATGGTCTTATGATGCCGACCCCAGTGCACTTTTCAGGTAAAAAAGCATACACTTGTACACTGACATAGAACAGTAATGGGTTATACTGAATCCTAGGCACACTATTCCCCCCATCCTTTACTAACCCTAGGAACCAGATTTAAATAAAGGAAAAGAATACTCTAGAGTAACAGCCACATTTTTTTTATTTAGTGCTGAGGACAAGCAGTCTTTTGCATGTTCCCCACTATTTATCAACATCAAAGTAGCTCTCATTAACTGTTATCTTAACCATTAGTTACAATGCACTAGATGATTCATTGGCTAAGCTATAAATTGATTCCTCTCCCAGGTACTTTTATGGAACAAATCTGGGTATTCCCAAGCTTTGGAAGGCTCCTTGCACCGTTTCTGTGGCAGCATACTACTTATGAATCATCTCTTATGGTGGCTTACTTTCTGGAATGATTTCCACAGATGGTTAATTATCTCCATTTTCTTTCTTTCTTTTTTTTTTTTTTTTAAGAGTAGGAAAAATTTATTGAGAGAAAGATAGCTTCTGTCTAAGAGACAGAAGAGGAACTGGAAAGTGGGTTGCCCGGGGACTCTGTTTCCCAGGGGATTTTTATGGAGCAAAGCCACGAGGTAAGGTGGGTTTAAGGTGGGACAAAATTATAGCCAATTAGTAAGATTATAAAAGTCACTTAGGTAATATTGATCCATTGGGAAATCACAAGGTGGGTATGAGGTAGGTCAAAACTATGATCAACCATTAAGAATACAACAAGTATAGTCACTTAGGTAATATTGATTAAATGGGGATCAAATGAGGAAGCAAGTCACGTAGCAAGTGTACAAGGTCTCCATTTTCTTTTACTCCTGTGATCTCAATTTACAGTAAGTTATTTCTTATAACTGTCTTCAAATTTTATACATCTACCCCATGGAAAGGTTGGAGTTCTTTATGCTCTCATCATGCCATTAAAAATTAAATCATATTTAAAATGTTAAAGTCAATTATAGGAACAAGGTATGGTCCAAACAAAGCAGATGTTGAGACAAAAAGCTGTTGAGATGGAAGTCTGGCTATTACATCACATGAGAAACAACTTAAAGAACTAGTGATCATTAGTAAAACAAAAAGTCAAAGAAATATAATAATTACTCTCAAATATAATGGAAGGGTATCATGCATTTACTCTAACAGAAGATACATTAATGGTTCTCAAACTATAGAGAGGCTAGGAATGCCAGATTGTCTGGTTCTGAACTGAAGCCCAGCAACATACACTTTAGAAGTATCTTAGGTACTAAAAAAGTCCACAACTTACATCTCAAGAAGCACCAGTCTAGATTAAAAAACAAAACAAAACAAAAAAACCCTCTGTAGTGGGATACACATGCCTTTTTACAGACCGAGTACCCAAGCTGCAACCCAAAACCCACTTACTTATCGCAAAGTGCCAACACTGCAATTAAACCTGAACACTGAGGTTTTAGTTTAGAATAAAAAACTACTTAACTGCTGCTCAGCTGCTACAGCAACTTGGCTCTCTTGCTGACAGAAGGCTATGTGTGCGTGCTGCAGCATGTGTGCCGTAGGTTCACCACCACTCCCCTAGGGAGGATTCAATGGGATTATCTGGGATTTCTATTTATATTTCTTTTTTGGTATGTCACATAATGCAGAGATTAATAAAAGCTGTACATATATCATTAACATATAAAGAAACATATTTGGGAATTGAGTTCAAACTTTATATTATTCTAACAGAATACATAATTTTAAAAGTTTTGATACTTCTGTTCTGGAAGATAAATTGATGAGAATGCAGCAGAAGAGATGCAAATACAGGGTAGGACATGCAGGAAGGAGAGGAAGCTAGTTTGGGAGCCAGAAAGGTGAAGACTTGAATTATAGAGTTAATACTTCAATTTGTGACTCTAAGTAAGTTAATCTTTTTGAGCCTGTTTTTCCAACTTTAAAGAGACATAACAACGCACCTCATAATTATTGAAATAAACATTCTGAAACATTTCATTCAATGCCTGGCAATGTTCCATATTTCCTTCTTTTCTTTTTCTTTTTGCCTCCATTAATGACTTCACTTTCCCCCTGGGTTCTATATTTTGAAAGACTTTACTTACCAGTAAATAGTATTTATAAGCAATAATTCATATTCTAATTTTATTAATCCAAGTCAAATAAGTGTCAATTAGAAGATATAATTATTGTGAGAAAAGTTATTGCCAAACAGAAGTAAAATATAGACACTCTCATTTAACAACCGAGTTTAGTTCCTGGGACTAGATCATTAAATGAATTGTTCACTAAATGAGGAATTGCATATAGTATGTACATTACAATATTCAGAATAAAGAAATGGTCAAAGGAAACTCCAACTTGATGACTTTGTTTTTATTTACATAACTCTTGCATGCAGTACCATAATGTATAACAGAACATAAAACTACGGTACTGTATTGTACAATACAATCAGAAAAATTAAGTACTATATAAACAGTCTGTACAAAAAAAAAAGACACTGAAGCTCTATAAACTAGATGTACAGAACCATAAAAAAAAAGATTGTCAGAGCGGAGAGTCATCAGTGTGAACAGCGCCCCTTGGTGGTAAATCCGAACAATTAAACAAGGGATTAAGTCATTAAACAAGGAATATCTGTAGTTTTGATGCAGGGGACTAGGGCATGGCTAAAATCACATGGGAAAGTAGGGTTAATTACAAAATCCTAGGACACATGTGCAGAACAGTTCCCAAAGCTCTGCATTTGGACTTCTCACAAGAACTCCAGCAGGTTTTCAACAGGGTGGCCAAGACTGTATGCCAGCCTCAGGAGTGGGTCATACAAAAGGGACAATTGCCACTAAGCTCTTCACTACTATGTTCTTTCAAAATAGTTCACCCTTATGCTGTAGAGTGTACTTCTTTTTCTACTTTTACTTGGTCCAAATTCACTCTGCAGAGCCTTTTTTTTTTGATACCAGGGATTGGACTTTGGACCTCGCGCTTGCAAGGCAGGTGGCGGAATCACTGAGCTAAATTCCCAGCCCAGCAGAGCCTTTTATTTTCATACTTTTAATAAATATGAAACACTGCTACTGTTTGCACTTGTCTTGACCAATTCTTTGCTTGGGACAGAAAGAACCTAAAAAACCACCTCTAGAAAGAGACTCTAGCACCGCAAAACCTAGTAACAGTTTCATATAGAAGAAACTGAAGTTCTGCTTTTTGGGGAAGAGAGCTTTATTGGGGCAAATATCAGTATCTTTTGGACTTAAAAATATTTGAGGACTGGTAAGTCTCTATTGTTATCTTTAGGACCATATAGGTCATTGATCACAGGTCACAAGCCACTAAACTAGAGGAGCTATGGTCCCTTCCAAATCGAATTCACCATTCATAAAAACTGCTGTGGCTCCACAGAAATTAAACCTACCAAATTATCTTTTTGTTTTCTTTTGAGTTTTAAGGCTTTTACAACTGAATTTAAAAGTTTGAGGTAACTGCAAATTCACATGCAGCTGTAAGAAAAGAGTGGTTCCAGGTATCCCTTGTAAAACTATAGTACAATACCACAGATAGAATATTGCTGCTCATACATCAAGATACAAGGATCTTTCACTTTGGCCCTTTTATAGCTATTCCCACTCACTCCCAACTCGATCAGTAAATGAGCAACCACAAATCTGTTTGTTTCTGCAATGTTATTTTTCAAATAATGTTATATAAATGAAATCACACAGTATTAATCTTCTGGGATTGGATTTTTCTCATTCAGCACAATTCTTCCAAGATTCACTCAAATTGTTGCCTGTATTAATAGTTAGGTCACTGATATTGTCTTTTATAATGTTTCCTATGACTACCGATGCAGAAATTACTTCTGCCCATTAGCAGCCATTCAATTTTAATAAAAGAAACTCCCTTCAAAAGATTTACTGAATTAATGATCAGAACTGTATTTCCAAGAAAGGGAAACTAGGGAATCTTCAATGTTAAACACCTAAAACATACTGTTTTCCTTTATTTATCTTTTTGGACGTCTTAATTTTATAACTTTATGGTTTTAAAAGTGACTTTTAGAAACTCCACCAAAAGACTTCTAGACTTAATTGACAGATTCAGTAGAGTAGCTGGATACAAGGTCAACACTCAAAGAACAACAGCATTCTTGTACACATATAACAGACTCATTGAGAAAGAAATTAGGGGAACAATTCCTTTTACAATAGCATTAAAAAAAAAAGAAATATCTAGGAATCAATCTAACAAAGGAAGCAAAAGACCTCACACTTAAAACTACAGCACTCTGAAAAAAGAGACTGAAGAGGATACAAGAAAATAGAAAGACATCCCTTGCTCCTGGGTAGGAAGAACCAATATAGTGAAAATGGCCATACTTCCAAAATTGCTATATAGATTTAATGAAATGCCAATTGAAATTCCAATATATTTCACAGAACTAGAGAAAACAATCCAAAAATTCATTTGGAACCATAAGAGACCTAGAATAGCTAAAGCAATCCTAAGCAACAGAGACATGGCTTGGGGGTATCACAATCCCCAACCTGAAACTATACTACAAAGCTACTGTGATAAAAACAGCATGGTACTGGCAAAGAAACAGACCTGAGGATCAGTGGAATAGATTAGAAGATGCAGAAACAACTCCAGACATACTCAGCCACCTCATCTTTGACAAAGGAGCCAACTACCCTCATTGGAGGAAAGATAGCCTATTTAATAAATAGTGTTGGAAAAACTGGATTTCAACCTACCAAAGATTAAAACTACACCCATATCTATCACCATGCACTAAACTAAGATCAAAGTGGATTAAAGATCTAAATATTAAAACAGGAACACTAAACTTGCTGGAAGATGAGTTAGGTAGAACTCTTGAAGGCACTGGCATAAGAAAAGACTTTATGAACAAAAGCTCAGCAGCACGGGAACTAGCACAATGAATCAACAACTGGGATCTTATCTTATTAAAATGCTTCTGCACTGCAAGAGAAATGACCGGCAGACCTAAGAGACAACCTACAGTATGAGAAAAAAATTTTAGCAGCTGTACGTCAGACAAAGGACTGAATACATAAAGAACTGAAAAAAATATATCTAGAATATATAAAGAACTGAAAAAAATCAGACCTCCCAAATTCAAAGACCCAATTCAAAAATGGGCATCTGAAATGAATAGACATTAAAAGAAGTAAAAGCTGCAAATAAATATATCAAAAAATGTTCAACATCACTGGTCATTCAAGAGATGCAGTTGAAAACAACACTGAGAGTCCACTTCAGCCCAGAAAGAATAGCTGCTATCATGAAATCAATCAATAACAAATACTGGTGGGGGTGTGGGGAGAAAGGAACCCTCCTCCATTGTTGGTGGGAGTGCAGACTAGTGCAACTACTGTGGAAATCAGTATGGAGATACCTCAAAGAACTAGGACTAGAAGTCCCATTTGACCCAGCTATTCCTCTGCTGGGTATCTTCCCAAAAGAATTAAAAGAATCATACCACAGCAATATATGTGCCCTCATGTTCATAGCAGCACAATTTGTGATAGCTAAAACTTGGAAGCAGCCCAAATGCCCAACAACTGGAAACTGGATAAAGAAGATGTGGTTTTTTATAAAATGGAGTACTACTCAGCCATAAAGAATGAGAAATTAGAGACATTTATAGCTAAGTGCATGCATATTGAGGCCATACTTTTAAGTGAAATAAATAGGACACATGTGTAAATACCGAATAGTTTCTCTGGTGTGAGAAACTGAAAGTGTAAATAAGGATTGAAATGATTAAAATGAATAATTGATAATTTGAAATAGGAAGAAAAGGTCCAAAGAGGTAGGGGAAGTGGGAGGGGAAGGGGAAAGGAAAGAAGGGAAAGGAAAAAGTATAAGAAAGGGAAAAAAATGGAAACAAAGTGTTTGTAAATAGGGAAGGGTGGAGGGGGTAAAGGAACCACAGGGAATGGGGAAAAAATAAGAACCAAGATACATCATGTACAGGCATAAGTACCCAATGATAAATCTAAACATATTGTATACCTGAAATGTACCAATAAAAGAATTTAAGCAAAAAATGAAATAAAAAGTGAGTTTTAGTAATATCATTATTTGTTAAAGTTTATTAGCACTTGTATATAGTACATAAGTATTACTGGGGAGTTGGTACATGTACATAACACATCTTACTTCTTTTTTCCCCTTTCTCCCACCCCTTCCTCCAGGGGACTATTATTGTTATTAAAAATATTTTTCTGAAAAATGACAATGCACATCAAGAACACTAATTAATTGCAGTTCTAGGATTTTAGGATTCAAGTAAGCCATAAATGATGTGGATAAGGATTTATACAAAAGTTTTTCACAGCAGCATACCTCAGATTAATAAGAACTTGAGAGCAGCTCAACTATAAAAATAAAACAAACCAGGTGACTGGTTAAATAAATGATACAATAAGTGTGTATGCATGCTTAGAAAATTTTTATTAAAATAGGAAATGCTCATTAACATAATACCAAGCGAAGAGTGGGCTATTCCACTGGATTTTAAATAGTATTTGTGGACTAGTATACAATAACACATTACTACTAAGTCCTCCAAAAATAGTTGTTGAATGAATAAAAGGATGTGAAAAACCTAAGAAAAAAATCTGACAAGTAACTAGACTGCTGAAAAACTCAAAAGCCAATTTAAAAAAATTATATTTTATCAACTATATATTTTTCATTATAAAAGGAATGCATATTCAATATAGAGAATGGTCTTAATGGTAAAGTAGGGTGAGAGGCTTGAAGCCATCTATATTTTCAATATCCAAATGCTAACATTTTGAGATGTTAATTTTAATTTTTTTCTTATGCACATTTTAGTTAATTAATTTTTTGGTGGTACTAGGGATTAAATACATCCTCTACCACTGAGCCACATCCCAGTCCTTATATGCACATTTTTAAACAGTATTGTGATGGTGTAGTAGTTTTACTCAGCTTTTTCATTTACTAAATTATATGCCTTTTTCATCATATTATAAACTCATAATAAGAAACAGTGTAAGCCAGGCATGGTGGCATATGCCTGTAATCCCAACACTTGGGAGGTTAAGGTAGGAGGACTGAGTTTGAGGTCAGCCTTGCTGCATAGCAAGTTCAAGGCCAGCTTGGACTACACAGCAAGACCCTCTGCCAAGAAACAAAACAAACAAATGAAGAAAAAAACACAAAATAAAACAAAAACTCAAAAGCCAAACCAAAGCAACAACAAAACAATTCCAAACAAAAAACCAAAATGGCTTAACAGGTGAATAATAGTCTACTGGCTATTACACCCAACCATTTCTCTATTGTCAGGCATTAGATTGTTTATTGTTGGTACTATTTAAATGATGCTGTACTTTATTTTTCCTGTATTTAAAACTATTTCCCGGGGTAGATTATTATCATCAGAAATGAATCAAAAGGATTTTTAAAAAAGGACCAATGGCAAATTTAAGTGTCTGTTGAGGTAATTATAGCACACAATGATTAATCTTAGAATTTTGACAGGCTTGAGTTTGAACTCTAGCTCTACCATGTTTATTTCTCTAAATTTGGGTAACTTAATTAGCTCTCTAAACTCTGATTCCTTCTATAATAAAATGAAGATAACTGTAGTGGGTCAACTTTTGGGGAAGGCCAGTATGACACTTCACTAGAGCACTTCAGTCAAGGGCTGAGGCCCTAGAAGTGTCTCAGAGTTTACTGACATCATCAAAAATTGCCACTTAGTGTATTTTTCTCCTTTTTGTCTTTAAATAGCTTCCTTTTTCCCTTTTGAAAAATTACTAGGTATAGTTATATGGTTTTAGTCTACATTGCTTCATCTTTTTTAGCTCTAGGGATAATTTATATAATCAGAAATAAGACAATCTGAAGCCTTCCTGAATCTGCACAGCATGTAAACAATAAAAATGTGGGAAAGTGTTCTCTGTCCTTAACTGAGACTAACTCACATTATTTTCACTATAAACCTTTTTCTCTCATGTAAAAACATAACAATAACAACTTCATTATAATATAAATTTAATTACAAATTCCAAAGTAACTGCAGTTTTATGCTTAACTCTTTTCAGACAACAGTTGCTTAAGAATACAGTGCTATGCTTCTCCATAATGAAAACATTTTTCTTTTCAAAAACATTTTATCTTTTTAAAGTTTTAATGTAATATAAGTAGATATTAGTAAGGAAAATATAAAAACACTCTGTGCTTCTACGAAAAAATAAGACAAAATTTCATAACAAAATAATTAGAAAATAACAATAGTTAATACACTGCATATCATGATCTTAAAGGAATGGCTAAAATGTTAGAGTACAAGTCACAGACAAAAAAGACTCTCTCTTACCAAGAAGAAACAAACAAATAAAAGAACAAAACTTTCATCATTTTAAAGAAATGAAGTTGGCTGGAGCAGCCTCAGTGTTCATTAGTAAGAGAACATTTAAGAATAGTATATGATAGAATACTGAACATTGGGATAATAAATAATTATGAAGTTACCAAAGCAAGAAGGAAAATGTATATGATACATTGTGAAGTACAAAGGGTAGGACAAACAGGTATGCATGTTATGGCTGTTACACTATAGAAATACAAGCCCATGAAATAACACTGCAAAGGAACATACAGAAATGATAAACATAGGTTAAACTGGTGGTATTACATTTTATTCCTTTCTCATTGATTTTCACATTTTCTGAGTATTTTATAGTCTGAAATGCAGATAGGATAAAATTTAATTATAATGCTATTTATTATTTTGTAGATTTTAATAGTATAGAATAAACTGTTTCTTCTCAGATACTTCTATGGACAGTACAGGTCTCATTCCCTTATAGCTCTATTTATTTTATTTTATTCAGATATTTTTATAGGGCTTGGGATTGAGCCTAGGACCTTAACCATGCTAGACAAGCATTCTACCACTCTACCACTGAGCTGCATCCCCAGCCCTAGCACCATTTTAAAATGATGTATATGCAATAGCAGCTAACATTCACTAAAACTTAATATGGTAAAACACTGTCCTAGATAACCTATGTATAGTATCCAGTCTAATCTTCATAACATCTACGAGTTTGGCTGTATTATTATCTTAATTTTACAAAAGAGCAAATGGAGGCACAGAGAAGTTCTATAATCTGTCTCAGATCACACAGCTTATTAGTAAGCAATAGAGCCAGGATTTAAATCCATGAGGCTCCAGATGTAGTCCTACCCCTAATCACTACCTAGACTGTTACTTAATTCTTTATAGTTCAAAATATTTAAGGAGAAAATTGGGCAAATTACTCTCTTTGTGCCTCAGTTTTCTGTTAATTTCTTGGAAAACAACTTACCTTATAAATTTGGGGGGGATTAAATAAATGTAATATATGGCAGGAACATAGAAAAATATCTGACCATTATGAAAGGATTTGCAAATGCTTGCTGTATGTTAAATTACTTTTAGTTTTTTGTTGACTTACACATTTTTAAAACTGAAGGGCAAAATTTACTTAACCAATATACTTGTCTCAGGCAATATACTTGGTCTTACCTTGCCTAGGAATAACATGAAATCTCCCACTGTGTTTATGGCAGCCACGCGCAAAGCATTCTCCACCAGAATGACAAAGGCATCCTTTGCTGAAGTGCAGAAGTTGGTGCTGTTGATAGCTGTGGCTGTGTATGCATTCTGATAAAAGCAAGAGCAGTATTTCCATCAATTAACTTTTAAAGATGTAAACTATGCATGATAAAACACTGATTTTAAGAATATTTCAGAGTCAAATCTGTGGTTTTAATAAGGTACAAATAGAGTCTGAGGACAAAGAAAAGTAATATATTTTTTCAAAAAGCTGACAGGGTAAAAAGAGCCTTTTAGGGGCTGGGGATTTAGTTCAGTGGCACCGTGACTGCCTGAAAAGCACAAGGTCCTGAGTTTGATCCCTGGTACCAAAAAAAAAAAAAGAGCCTTTGGATAAGTTGAATAAGTTTTAGTCCTGTAAAAATACTATTACTGGGCCGGGGATTTAGCTCAGTGGTTCCACCTCCTGCCTCGCAAGCACAAGGTCCTGAGTTCGATCCCTGGTACTAAAAAAAAAAAAATACTATTACCTCTTCTGTGTATTGTCCTGAAAGAATTAAAGACATCATATTACAGCGACACATGCATACCCATGTTTATAGTAGCACAACTTATAATAGCTAAATCCTGGAAGCAGGCCATAGATCCATCGATAAATAAAACGTGGTATATATACACAATGGAGTATTACTCAGCCACAGAGAAAGATAAATTCGAGTAATTTACAGAAAAGTGGATAGATCTTGAGACCATAATGCTAAATGAAATAAATCAGACACAGGAGGTTAAATATTGCATGGTTTCTCTTATGTGAGAAACCCAAAATATAATTAATTTAAAGGACAAAATAAAAGATGGTAGGAAACAAAAGTCTTTGTGGAGATGGGAAGAGACTCTAGGGCTAGGGGAAGATGGGAGAGCAGGGAGAGGAAGAGGAAAGAAAACCTGATGCTCTATGTATATGTACGAATTCCCCAAGATGAATGTAATTACCATTGCAGACATATACTAATGAAAAATAAAACTACTATTAAAACACACACACACACACACACACACACACACCCCTTCCCAACATCTTAATTTCTTCCCTGTCTTAGTAAATCAAACAATTTAATCTTTCCTAAATGTCTCAGGTTCATAATTTTGAGTAATTATGAATTGAGTAATTCATGTAACAGTGCTGCTTTATAAACTGGACATAATGTGGACATCAAGTTGCTGGGGTGTTTTATCTGGAACACTTACCACATCCTGGTGGCTTTCTTTTTGCTGTTATTTCTCACACCTACTTGCTGCATGGTATTTTACAGCACTTCTCTTCCTAGGAACATGATCCCAAATCTCCTTTAATACAGTAGCTTTTCTTTATTAGTTTGAGTAGGGATGACACTGCCTCCAGCTCTGGGGGGTGGGTCTTCATTGACGTGAGCCAATCAGCATGCTCTACCCACTTGGCCATGATAATTGGTTTAGGTGTTGGTACATAAGTCAATGAAAGTAAAAGATGTATTTTCTGGGGGATTCCTGGAAAGAGGTTCTTCTTCATAGCCCTTCTAACAACATAATGGGAAGAGCTGCTGCTAGAGGTCAGTTGAAACCAAGGGTAAAGCCAACACCACAGAAGGCAGAGCAAAGAGAAACTAGGTACTTGAACTTGGTGACAGTATCTGTATCCCCCAGAAAGCTGAGGGACCAACTAGCCAGCTTTCTGGACTTTTCAGTTATAAAAGCTAATATACTGCTAATAAACTTCCCCTGCTCCCTCACTCCTTCATTTAGGGTAGACTTAGTCGGGCTTTCCACCTCTTCTAATACCTCGTCTTCAACAAACTAATAGCAATAGACTATTTTTTTCTATTCTTTTCTCTATGACATTCTAGACCAGCATTGCTGTTTTCTGAGAAATGTAACTGTTACACCATTAAATACATCTGAATCTTAGGAAGGGAAGTGAGTTTGTGACTCAAATTTTGGTCCCAAGGAATTTTGGTTTTGTGCTGACAAAAATCACTGCTGTGAGCAAAATGTTGTAATTTCTAGAAAACTGAACACGAAGTTTTCACTCTTTACACTGTGTTGTCTATAAAGCTTTAAATGTGGAACCTACAAGAGATGATCTTTAATTTATGAGTGTTCTAATCACATGCTTGTTATTAGGAGCTTGGTATGGAGATGAGGTCTGAGTTATCAAAACTTAATTTGCCATTATATGATAATATTGACTAAAAAAGCAGAACATTTGAAAGCTGAGGACAGCACAATAATGAATAAATTGCTACCTGTACTTCTTAAACTTTTTTCAGTAATGCAGCAGTAGGAAATTACAGCATTCTTTGGGAAATACAGTATGACTCTGATATATAGAATTTCATATAAATGAGGTAATTTACTATCAGAATACATCACTATAGTATGTTAGGTCTTTTATGTCAAAAGCTAATATATAAAATATTTTTAAGGATTCATACTATTAAATTTTTTCATTAGCATCCATTAGCTACTTGCTCCCTTGCATTGTCAACTGAAGGTTCTTAGCAGTTAAAAGACAGTAGGAACCAAATTGTTAACTAACTGCAGTGCTCTACATTTTTTCACTGTCTGCCAAAACTTTTGACATATTGTGCAAAATGTCTCAATGATGTAAAAATAAACTATACTTTGGGTCCTGTGTAACAATAGTGCTGCTGAAAAATGGAGAAGAACTGCCCCAGTCAGACCTATTCTCAAACCAAGAACGGTTCCCAGTTCCCACTTGTTTCCTAACAACTCACAAAAATACCCATTTATCAATTTATTCTAGAGCAGGGATGGTCAAACTACCACCTGTTGGCCATATGTGGTCTGCTGACTATAGTAAATAAGGTTTTCCTGGCACATAGTCTTGCTCATTTGTTTACATATTGTCAATGTTGCTTTCACGCTACAATGGTAGAATTAAGCAGTTGTGAGAGACTAGATGGTCCATAAAACCAAAATATTTACATTCTGCTTCTTTACAGAAAAGATTTGCGGACCTTTGTTCTAGAATATTGCCAATGCTCAGTATCAACCTCATTTAGTCTATGAACCCACCTTCTTCTCCTTTTTGAAATACAAAGCACATGTGCTCTTTTCAAGTTTTAATAATTTCCTCCACAACTGCTAGTCTTTTAATTCACTATAATTCTTTAGTTCAACAATTTAACTGACAGGCCGGGGATTTAGCTCAGTGGTTCCAGTGCCTCCCTTGCAAGTGCAAGGTCTTGAGTTTGATCCCCGGTACCAAAAAAGCAATTTAACTGACAAATCTTCAGTGATCTGGGCTGTAATTCCCCTGCAGAGAAGTATCTGAATTCCCATATTCTAAAATGTGACCAAGAGATAAATGACCAGTTATTGGTAACAGGTTTTCATGGTAAAAATATCTTACTATATTAACTATTTATGTTGAATATGAGATCCATTCTGATATTTAAAAAAATTACAATGTCTAGAATAAAGGAAACTGGACAGTCCATTGAAACCATTCTTGCACAGTCTCAGTTTCCCAGCCCCCGAATGAGGAACGACTCACTCTTGACAATGCTGTTTACCTTTTCCACTTTCACCATGAGTCTCCTGAAACAGGAGGCAGAAGCAAGAGAAGATTCATGTAATCCCATTGGCTCTGTTATCATTGGGCCAGCTGAGAAGGCCCAATGCTTTCAAACTAAACTATAAAAGTTTTTTAGTTCATCTGAGAATTATTCCTCCTCTTACATCTTTCTCCTTGTCCCACCCTGCCCCATCTTCTCTTGGAGCAGAAGCTGATAAATTTGTAGACAAAGAAGAAGTGGCAATAATTTCTTTTATCCGCTCTCAGTTTCAGAGTAGGATATCTGCAAAGAAATTTAGCCTTCTTGACAATAATCCTACAGATCTGTGTTCAACGTCTTTGTAGTCAACCTCACTGAAAAAAGTGTAGGTGGTTATTTTGTAAGCCCTTTTACCTATTCTCAGAGCAGAAAGACGAGCTGCATAGATACACAAAAGCCAAGATGACCTCTTGAGAAATTTATGCCATAGATCATAACAGGCCAAAGAAATTTCCCTGTGTTCTATAACACCTTGTCTAAAATAGATTTATGCTAAGGTTCTCAAAAAGTTCTGAGTCTTTTGTGACTTTCCCGGACAGCTGTTCTGAGCTGTCAGCTACTTAGGTGACAGTGCACCCACCTTCTCAGACAGCCTTCCTAATTCTGAGCTAACGTGCCCAGAGAGGCATCATTGATTGGTTAACACTTAGCCCATGCATGACTAACATCTGCTTGAGCAGGACACAGGCTTGAACTTATTTGATTCTCAGAAGCAAGATGAAGGATGACTACCAATCAGGAATCTTTTTAAAAGGATGCTTGCTAACACAAGTGATCCTTAGTAGCACTTTTGTATGATAAAACTGACCAGAAAAGGTACTGGTTATGTGGACAAAAATGTTAGGGCAGGAGGTCATTACGCAGGTAATTAGGGCTGTCTGACTCCCCATCCCAGACCATGGCTTTTTTTTTTTTTTCATTGAAGGACCTAGACATTTGTTTAAAGTTTAAAATATTTACATAATGACACACTTAATGAAGGAAAACTAAACAGCAATGGTAGGAAAAGGGGTATAGGATACAGGCAACTCTACATGTGGATCCTTATAAATTAGAAGAAATGGTAATTACAACTTTTTCTCCCTTATTTTGGATGAGGGATGGAGGGTTATGCTATTTTCTGAATACCTGTTATCCCCCCTAATTCATGTTGAAACCTAATCACTGAAATGATACTATGAGGAGGTGAAGGTAAATTGAATGGGACAAGTGTCCTTATAAAAGAGGGCCAAAGATCTGTCTAGTCTCTTCCACTGTGTGAGGACATAGTCAGTAGGTAACATCTATGAACTAGCAACCAGGCCCTCATTAGACACCAAATCTGTTAGTGCCTTTATCTTAGACTTATCAGCCTCTAAAACTATAAGAAATAAATTTCTGTTGTTTGTAAGTTACTCAGTTTATGATTTTTTGTTACAGTAGCCCAAATGAACCAAGACAGGGCACAACATCAAATTTATAACATAGGTTTTATCCTGTCCTGTTCTGTTC